ACCAGGACACATTTAAGACTTGGGAGTTCCCATGATCCCTTAAGTGTTTCCTGCTCCAGGAAGTAACCATTCATGTGTTTAATGGAAGACATACTATTTTTCCCTATTCTGGTGTGAAATGATTTCTAACCTTTGTAAGCTTCTTTTCAAACCACAATTTTCCCACCTATTTTGGTCACCAAACAGACTAATCTCTAGTGGCCTGTAGACTTACTCCTAACTACCCTGCTGGGGGTTGAAAATGAAGTAATCCCCCCTAGGCTGGCCCCTGTAAGACTTAACAAACTTTCATGATTACATTTCAGTCATATAATGATCGAGCACCCATCCCTCCACCAGTTCCCATTCTCCATCACCAATGTTCCCAAATTTCCCTCCTGCCACCCCCTCCCCTTCCCACCCTCTGCCTCTGTGGCAGGAACATTTCCTCTTACTCTCTCTCTACTTTTGGGTGTTATGGTTGGCAATACAGGTACTAAGTAAGTGGCCATCATGTTTGGTCCATAGTTGACTTTCAGCATGCATCTACCATCCCGAGCAAGCCTTCCAACCATCATTTACTTAGTGGTCCCTTCTCTATCCCAGCTGACTTTTCCCCCAGCACATGAGACCAGCTTTCAAGCCATGGAGCGATCCTCCTGACCCGTATCTCTTCTTTCCTTAGCCGTAAGTCTCCTATCTTGTTACTTTATATTCCACAAATGAGTACAGTCATTCTGTGTCTGTCACTATACCTCTGACTCTTTTCACTTATCATGATACTCTCCATGTTGATCCATTGATATGGTAATTTCATCTTTTCTAACAGCTGCATAGTATTCCATTGTGTAGATATATCAAAGTTTCTTTAACCAGTTATCTGTTCTTGAGCATTCAGGTTTTTTTCTAGATTCTGGCTATTGTAAATAGTGATGCAATAAACATATAAATGCAGATGTCATTTCTATTGTACTTTTTTGCATCTCCAGGATATATTCCCAGAAGTGGCATTGCTGGGTCAAATGGGAGCTCAATTTCTAGTTTTTTGAGAAATATTCATATTGTTTTCCAAAAAGGCTGGACCAGTTGGCATTCCCACCAGCAGTGAAGGAGAGTCCCTTTCTCTCCACATCCATGCCAACACCGGTTGCTTTTGTTCTTTTGGATGTGTGCCAGTCTCTTTGGTGTGAGATGACATCTCATTGTTTTGGTCTGCATCTCCCTGATGATTAGTGATGAAGAACATTTTTTCAATGTGCCTTTTGGCCATTTGGATTTCTTCATTGAGAAAGTTTCTGTTTATTTCATCACCCCATTTTCTTATGGGATTGGATGTTTTCTTGTAGAGTTCACCTTTAGTTTCAATGTTGTAGAGGGTTTTGCCGACCTTTTCTTTGATGTACCTTATAGATTCTGGTCTGATGTTGGGGTCTTTAATCATTTTGGTCTGACTTTTGTGCATCGTGTTAGGCAGAAGTCTGAGCCTATTTTTTTGCATGTAGCTGTCCAGTTTTGCCAGCACCATTTGTTAAAGAGGTTTTCCTTGCTCCACTTCACATTTCTTGCTCCCTTATCAAAGATTACATTATCATATACTTGGGGGTATGTGTAAGGATGTTCAATCTCTATTCCAGTGATCTGTGGATCTGTCTTTGTTACAATACCATGCTGTTTTAATTATTACTGCTCTGTAGTACAGTTTGAAGTTGGGGAAAGTGATGCCTCCCATCTTTTTTCCCCCGAGAACTTCTTTAGCTATTCGTGGGAGCTTGTTGTTCCATGAGAATTTCAGGAGTGTTTGATCAATTTTTTTGAAGATTGTCATGGGTACTCTTATAGGGATCACATTGAATCTGTGTAATGCTTTAGGTAGTATTGCCATTTTGACAATGTTAATTCTCCCAATCCATGAGCAGAGGATGTGTTTTCATTTTCTTGTTTCTTGTTTCTTGTCCTCTTATTTCTTGAAGTTGGTTTTGTACTTTTCTTTGTACAGGTCCTTTACCTCCTTAGTTAAGCTGATTCTGAGGTACTTGATTTTCTGAGGCAAAATTTTATAGCCTGCCACTTAACTATACAAGTCTATTGTTTCTAGGAGCTTCTTGTTAGAAGTTTTAGGGTTCTCTAAATATGATATGTCATCTGCAAAGATTGAGAGCTTGATTTCTTCCTTTCCTATTCGGATACCCTTAGTGTCTTTTTCTTTCTTGCCTAACTGCTATGGCAAGTACTTCCAGTACTATATTGAATAGAAATGGTGAGAGTGGGCATCCTTGTCTTGTCCCCAATCTTAGAGGGAAGGCTCTTAGTTTTTCCCCACTGAGGATAATGCTTGCCTGTGGTAGATGGCTTTGACTATATTGAGAAAAGTTCCTTCAATTCCTATTTTGCTGAGAGTTTTCATCATAAATGGGTGCTAGATCTTGCCAAATGCTTCCTCTGCATCTATTGATATGATCATATGGTTTTTATCCTTTATTTTATTGATATGATGGATTATATTGATTGACTTGCAAATGTTAAACTATGTCAGAATATGGTATCTGGAATACCATAATCATGTCGGTTTTCAGGTCTTGGAAGTCTGGATAATTGAATGCTTTTACTACTGAGAAAAATTTATGTTATATTAAATCTTCAAGGTCTTTGCACACTATGTGGGAACTCATGACTTATGCTAAAAGTTAAATAAAAGGATTGAGTTCTCTTCAGCACTCTCCTCAAACAATCTCCCTATATAATCATTTTCACCTTTCTTGATATTTATAGCATCAGTTTTCTTTGAGTAAAGGAATATTTATATTTATTATTATTATTATTATTATTATTATGTAGCAGTGGGTAGGGCATTTGCCTGGCATGTAGCCAACACAAGTTCTATTCCTCCATCTTTCTTGGAGAGTCCAGCAAGCTATTGAGAGTATCCCACCCACACAGGAGAGCCTAGCAAGCTCCCCGTGGCACATTCGATATGCCAAACACAGTAGCAACAAGTCTCACAATGGAGACGTTACTGGTTCCTGCTCGAGCAAATCAGTGAACAATGGGAGGACAGTGAAGTGTTGTAGCTTGTTCAGAGTTAACTCTCCTAAGCTTTTCATATTCACACCAGTTATTTCTTCTATCTTGTATGTTTGTATGACAGTTGATTCTTCTCTTAACATTCTTCCCTGTAATTAAGGAATTAACAGACTATAAGCACGTTTAAATTTATGCCATTTAAATATATATAATATTTTATAGCAACATAAAATATAGATTTCCTGGAAAGAGTCCTTCATTTTTTCACAGCCAAGCTATGAAAAGCACTGTATATCTCCTGACTTCACATTCATTCACCAGTAGAGAGGTAACTGGGCCTCTGTCCCTATTGCCCTCTGCCCAGACTCCTGCCCTTTCCTTGACTATTGATGTCTGAATTACTGCTTTTAGCCACTTTCTTTTGTTGTTGCTATTTCTGCTCACCCCAGGAGAGCTCTTCCCTTCCTGATTTCAGTTCTAATTGCATCAACTGTTTTAGGTATTTGGCTATAGTGTCTACAGGAAGCAAAAATTGTGTATCAAAATTACTTACAAAAATCCCCTAAAGCACTGATTTAGTTTTCTATATGCAAATCATGCATATGTATGTATAAATATATACATGTATATACATATATACACACATACAAAATATGAATGTAGTTGTTTACTTGCAAGTCACAGATATAGTAATGGATTAAAATTTTATGTGTGTGTATGTATGTGTATCAACAGATATCAGATACACCAGTTTTATTTGCAGGTAGAAAACTATATCCACATTTTAAAAATTATTTCTGTGTTTACAGTGTAATGTATATATAAATGATGTAGCATATTATTTTGTGTGTACATATAATTGTCCATATATATAACATCGTATGTACTCTTCAAGAAATTAAGGAATTATTGAGTAGATCACTGCTGAAAATTTTCAACATATTTATAGAAATTCCAAATAATCAAGGAACTCCTTTTATTTTGTAGGCCATTTTTAAAAACACTCTATTATTCTATATATCTTCAGAATAATAGAGTGATTTATTTATAATCCCTGTTATTCTGTATACCTTCACTTTTTTCCTTCATGATATTGGTGAAGTTTTAGCAGATTCTTAAATAAAGCCTTGGCATCCCTGACACTGGTATGAAAATCTTCATAATAGTTTTTTTATTCTTTTCATGCTTTCCCATCCTCCAGTGCCCGTAGACTCTCCCCTGCGCATGACTACATCTGTTGTTTGAGAAGATGTTCACACTGAGTGGCATATAAGTTATTGGCCACCTAATTCAAATAATTTTGCTTCTTTCTTCTTTGCTAATCACATCTGATTTTCAAATAATTTATTTGAATGATACACCTCCACAGCAGTGTTTGTGTATAGGTGTGTGTGTGTGTGTATGTGTGCATGTACGCACATGCGTGTATGCGTACACTGTGTGTATAAGTTTCCAATCTGGACCCTGCACTCTGAGGCTTGGAGTTATATATTCTGTTGCCCTTGAAAAAACTCCTGTGTATATTTTTGAAACAGTACTGTTAAAAGTACCATTTGGGGAGCAAAGTACAGAGATTAAGGTGCATGCCTTGAAAGCAACTAGCCTTGGTTCTTCTAGGCATCATCAGATGCACCCCTGAGGCCCCCTAGTTTCATGCCTTGTGTCCACATTAATGCAGTTTTAACCCATGGCCCTGTTGAAATATCCTGAGGCCTCATGTGAGTGAGCTACATGACCTCCCATTAAGAAATAATGCCTTAAGAGAAAGGTAACTGAACAAGTTAACAGAAAAGAAGAATTGAATTAAATTATCAGTTTTTGGATTTTTAAATACTCAAGTTTTGTGTCTATCATCAATGCCTGTTTTGTGGGATAGTCTATTTTAAATGCCTCACAGTGGGGTGAAAGCCTTCAGATATTTTGCTGTAAGTAAAAACGGAAGCTGACTGATAATAAATTATATATTTTTGTCATTTTTAAAAATTATTTAATGATTACAGAAAAAGAAGACATTGCTAGAATTTTCTGGATCGGCTTAAATCAGCTGTATACTGCTAGAGGCTGGGAATGGTCAGACCACAAGCCATTAAACTTTCTCAACTGGGATCCAGGTAAATGCTTCCTCCCCAACACACTGAGCAAACACTTAAAAAAAACAGTCCCTTGATAAACAATGTGAACAATTCTTAAAATATTAGAAATTGAGCTCTTATTTGACCCAGCAATACCACTCCTGGGAATATGTCCTGGAGAGGAAAAAAGTACAGTCGAAATGACATCTGCACTTGTATGTTCATTGCTGCACTGTTCACAGTAGCCAAAATCTGTAAAACACCCAAGTGCCTGAGAACAAATTACTGGCTAAAGAAACTTTGGTACATCTGCACAGTGGAATACTATGCAGCTGTTAGAAAAGATGAAGTCATGAAATTTGCATACGAGTGGTTCTACATGGAAAGTATCATGCTGAGTGAAATGAGGCAGAAAGAGAGGGACAGACATAGAAAGACAGCACTCATCTGGGGAATATAAAGTAACAGAATGGGAGACAAACACCCAAGAATAGTTGAGATAAGCACCAGGGGGTCTGCTCCACAGCTTGGAAGCCAGAAGCACATGCTGGGGGGAAAGGCAGCTCAGATAGAGAAGGGAACACCAAGTAAAGGGTGTCTGGAGGATTTGCTTCGGATGTGAGATGCGTGCTGAAAGTAGACTATAGACTGAACACGATGGCCATTCAATACCTCTTTCACAAACCAGAATACCCTAAAGCAAAGAGAGAGCAAAAGGGAATGCCCTGCCTCAGAGGCGGGACGGGGTGGGGGGGATGGGCTAGGGTGGGAGGGCTACTGAGATCATTGGTGGTAGAAAATGGGCACTGGTGGAGGGATGGGTACTCAATCATTGTATAACTGAAACCCAAGCACGAAAATTTGTAAGTCTACAACTGTACTTCATGGTGTTTCACTAATAAAAAAAAATAAAATAAAAATAAATTTTAAAAAATCCCAGTCATGAATAGCTTACACAGATTTCAAATCTTGACAAACTCACATTATGGTTCCCTCTCAGAAGAACTTTCCCAAGTTTAATCACATTGTGGATAACTGAGCATGTATTTCTAACGTTTAAAAGAGCAACCCGCCACCTTTAGGTAAGAGCTGATTTGAGCCCTGCCATGAAGCTAAGAGCTGTTATGTGTTCCATAGGGAACTTGATGTGTCTGTGATTCATGCATATTGTGTTCCATTTTCAACTTAACTCTTAAAATACAAAACTTCTTTAGTTCCAAACTCTTGGGATCTCTCCACCATAGCACCCAAGTGCTTACAGCATAATGAGTTTATTACCCAAATAAATAGTTTAACAAAGGTTTATAGTGAATTAAATAAAAGTCTAGCTAACCAAAATATATACCAATCAGTCATTTTAGTTAATGCAATTTTAGTGACAAAAAATACAATCTTAGAGATAATTTAATTGTTGCTTCAAAGACTTAAAGGCATTACAGAACAAAAAAAATATTTGTTGTATGGAATACACAACTAAGACTTACTGAGCACAGAATATAACATGGAAGTTGTTTGGAGGCAGTGGTTATTTTATATTTTGTCTTTTAAATGTATTACAATATGTCAGGATATATTTACTCTGAATCCTGCATTAATATATTAAGCTTATTGAGGCATCTACATTTTTATTTAGTTAAAAGCTTTAGTTATTTTTTGTATTCCCCTAAAAGCTAAACATTAGGAATAAATCCTTTTTCTGTTGTTGTTCCTGATCAAAACCTTCTTGTTCTAACTCTGAAAATCTGACATTTAAGATATGCCTAGTGCACCGACAATTGGTGGGTCAAGCTGTGCAAGTATGAATGCTGATTCTGGTCTGTGGCAGAGTTCTTCCTGTGAAGCTCAGCTGCCGTACATCTGCAAAAAACCACTCACTGACACAGTGGAATTAGCAGGTATCCTTCTAATTTCCTTGTAAAAGTATCTAAAAATTAATGTTTTGTAATGTCAAGTAAATCCATTTTGCAGTGATTTTTCTACTTTCCTTCACCTAATGTAGAAATTATTTGATTTTGATCATGGGTTAATGTGTTACCAGCTATATGTGACTAAAGATTTTGCTTGCTAAATTCCCATAAGAAGGCAAATATATTCTAAATAGAAATATATCTGTTTTCAGAGGTGACTTCTATCGGAGTGTTTCTCAAAATGTGGTTCCAGATGAAGGCTTTAGCATCACCTGTTAGTATCACGAGACAGTGCAGGAGGTAAGGCACTTGCCTTGCATTTTGCATGTGTCTCTGGCAGAGGCATCCTGTCCCCAGAGCACCTCCAAGGGTTATTCCTGAGCATAGAGGCAAGAGTTGCCCCTAAGCACTGCTGGGTGTGGCCCACAAATAAACAACAGGAAGCTAATTCTGAGATCATATTCCTAATTTCCTGAATAAGAGGCTGTTAGGGTGGACCAGACTGTGTTTTTAAGACGCCTTCCAGGACCAGAGAACTAACACACTGCGCTTGCATCACTTGCATCTGACTCCGTTTTGATTTCTGAAATCCCATTTGGTTCCCTGAGCATGGCCCAGTGACCTTGAACACAGCTGGGTATGGCCCCAAAACAAACAAAAGCCTCCCAGGTGATTCTGATGCAAATTTAAATATGAGAACCACTGCTAAGGCCAGACCTCCTGTATTGTCTTCCTAAAAAGTAAAGACTTAGGACATTGTCAAAATGGCAATACTCCTCAAAGCATTGTACAAATTCAGTGTGATCCCTGTAAGGATACTCATGACATTCTTCAAAGAAATGAAGCAAACACTCCTGAAATTCATAGGGAGCAAAAAGTCACCACAAATAGCTAAAAACACTTCTTGGGAAAAAGAAAATGGGAGGAATCAACCTCCCAAACCTCAAACTCTACTACAAGCGGTAATAATTAGAATAGCATGGTACTGGAACAAAGATAGAGCCGCAGGCCGATGGAACAGGGTTGAATATACTGATACCCCATTCCCAAATGTATGATCATCTAATCTTTGATAAGGGAACAAGAAATGTAAAATGGAGCAAGGAAAGCTTCTTTAATAAATTCTGCTGGCAAAACTGGAGAGTTACATGCAAAAAAAATGTGCTCAGACCTCTACCTAACACCATGCAGAAAAGTTAGATCAAAATGGATAAAAGACCTCAGTATCAGACTAGAATCCATAAGGTACATTGAAGAAAAGTTTGGCAAAACCCTCCAGGACATTGACACTTACAGTATCTTCAAAGATGACTTGCCACTGGCCAAGCAAGTGAAAACAGAGATAAACAAATAGGACTATCTTAAACTAAGAAGCTTCTGCACCTCAAAAGAAACAGTGACCAAAATACAAAGACAGTCTACAGAATGGGAAAGGATATTCACCCAATACCCATCTGATAAGCGATTGATATAAAGGATATACAAAGCACTGGTTGAACTCTACAAGAAGAAAGCATTCAACCCTATCAAAAATGGGGTGATGAAATGAACAGAAACATTCTCAAAGAAGAAATCTGAATGGCTAAAAGGCACATAAGAAAATACTCCACATCCCTAATATCAGGGAGATTCAGATCAAAACAACAATGAGATATCATCTCACACCACAGAGACTGGCACACATCCAAAAGAACAAAAGCAACCGGTGTTAAAAAAAAAAAAGCAACCCATGTTGGCGCAAATGTGGGGAGAAAGGGTCCCTCCTTCACTTCTGGTGGGAATACCGACTGGTTCAGCCCTTTTGGAAAACAGTATGGACGATTCTCAAAAAATTAGAAATTGAGCTTTCATTTGGCCCAGCAATACCACTCTTGGGAATTATCCTGGAGAGGAAAAAAAGTATAGTCGAAGTGACATCTGCACTTGTATGTTCATTGCTGCTCTGTTCACAATAGCCAAAATCTTTAAAACACCCAAGTGCCTGAGAACAAATGACTGACTAAAGAAACTTTGGTACCATCTCACACCTCAGAGACTGGCCCACATTCAAAAGAACAAAAGCAACCGTTGCTGGCGAGAAAGGGACCCTCCTTCACTGCTGGTGGGAATACCGACTGGTTCAGCCCTTTTGGAAAACAGTATGGACGTTCCTCAAAAAATTAGAAATTGAGCTCCCATTTGACCCAGCAATACCACTCCTGGGAATATATCCCAGAGAGGCAAAAATGTGTAGCTGAAGTGACATCTGCACTTGTTTGTTCATTGCAGCACTCTTTACAGTAGCCAGAAACTGGAAGAAACCTGAGTGCCCAAGAACAGATGACTGGTTAAAGAAACTTTGGTACATCTACACAATGGAGTACTATGTAGCTCTTAGAAAAGATGAAGTCATGAACTTTACATACAAGTGGTACAATATGGAAAGTATCATGCTAAGTGAAATGAGTCAGAAAGAGAGGGATAGACATAGAAAGATTGCATTCATCTGGGGGATATAAAATAACAAAATATGAGATTAATACCCAAGAATAGCTGAGATCAACACCAGGAGGATTACTCCATAGCTTAGAGGCCAGCCGGGTATTCTAGAGGAAAGGACAGTTCAGATAGAGAAGGGAGCACCAAATGGAGGGTGTTTGGAGGATCCTCCCAGGAGGGGAGATGCAAGTTGAAAGTAGACTGGACTGAACATGTTTGCCACTCAATGCCTCTTTTGCTGATCACAAAACCCAAAAGGAGAGAGAGAACAAAAGGGAATGCCCTGCCACAGTGGCAGGGGGGGATGGGGGGTTGGGGGGAAGGAATATTATCCTGGTGGCGGAAAATGGGCACTGGTGGAGGGATGGGTATTTGATCATGGTATGACCGAAATCCAAGCACAAAAATTTGTAAATCTACAAATGTACCTCATGGTGTTTCACTAATAAAAAATAAATTAAAAAAAAAAAAAAGAAACTGTGGTACCTCTACACAGTGGAATACTATGCAGCTGTTAGAAAAGATGAAGTCATGAAATTTGCATACGAGTGGTTCTACATGAAAAGTATCATGCTAAGTGAAATGAGGCAGGGACAGATATAGAAAGACTGCACTCATCTGGGGAATATAAAGTAACAAAATGGGAGACGAACACCCAAGAATAATTGAGATAAGTACCAGGGGGTCTGCTCCATGGCTTGGAAACCAGCAGCACAGGCTGGGGAAAAAGGCAGGTCAGATAGAGAAGGGAACACCAAGTAAAGCGTGTCTGGAGGATTTGCTCGGGGTGTGAGATGCGTGCTGAAAGTAGACTATAGACTGAACATGATGACCATTCAATACCTCTATTGCAAACTACAACACAAAGGAAAGAGAGAGCAAAGGGAATGCCCTACCTCAGAGGTGGGGTGGGGTGGGGGGGATGAGGCGGGGGGGAGAGGGATACTGGGATCATTGGTGGTGGAGAATAGGCACTGGTGGAGGGATGGGTACTCAATCATTGTATAACTGAAACCCAAGCACAGAAGTTTGTAAGTCTGCAATTGTACTTCATGGTATTTCACTAACAAAAAAATTAAAATATAAATAAATTAAAAATTTTAAAAAACAACTATGAATAACTTTGTAAATCATTGTGCTTTAATAAAAGAACAGCATATGCCTAGTGAAAAAAATAAAGAGTTATGAACAAAGCAATTCTGCAGACTTTTCTGCTCTTCAACTCACAACTCTTTTTTGTCCTTTTTGCCAGGCTGATTCTCTAGGTCTTTGTGTTTATAAATCAGGTATAAAAGAAAGGGTAGAAAATAATAAAATGTATATGAGGAGGATGTGTTTTCCAGGGAGATTTTAGGCAAAATAGACACAGGAATAGCCAAAGTATTTGAGATACCAAAAGACTTTGAAGAGACTTTAAAAGAATGGGGATGAGGGACTCCTTTCCTGTATCATACAGGACACTATGCCTATCTTTGTCTAAATTGGTTAAATCCTCACTAGATAAAATAATACTTAAACTGGCAGGAGAAAAGGAGGTCTTAAAATATCATGCCTAAGGAATTTGGGGGATAGGGAACAAAAATTAAAATTTCTTATCCAATTAGGAGTATAAAGCTAGTTTTTAAGACTAAGTATATACATTCCTTACCTTCTGTTGGGAGTTTTTAAATTAATAGATAGAAATAGACATTTATTTTCCAGGTTGATTCAAATATTAAGGCCATACAAAAAAATTAAAAAAATAGAAAAGGCAGCTCAAATATAAATACACTAGGGTGATTGATAATAGATGAAATAATATTCTGTAGTAGCAATTGTTAAGTAACTCATGATGTTTCCCCATGACTGAATAATATACATTTATTAAAATACTGTGCCAATGGGAAGATACGAAATTTATATGCCAAGTTATCTCTTTAATCTTTTAAAAACATGTATTCATAATACAATGACCAGAATAATTAAATATTATTTTAAATTTTATTGTAGATGATTTTTTCCTCTGTTCCTGTATCATTGTTGTAAAACATAATAAGTGCTTTTTTGTAACTGAGTTATTTTACAAGTGTGTGAAGTTAGCTGAATCTGGTTTATTCTTTAGTAAAAAATAAACTGTCCACATGTTTAAGATGTTATAACTCCAAATAATAACAAATATATAATTCTGAGAAAATTACTTTCTAGTTTTATTAAGAGTAAAAAAATTTATATGGTTTTATACTCCCAATTTTCTCTAAACCTTTCTGGCAGTCATAATAATCATGGTCAAGTCAATGGTCACTGATGTTTTCAGAACTATAGGTCTAGCAGAAGGGAGGAGAGAAGTCAATTGCCCTTTTTCTCTGTTGCTGCCATCTCTTGGGTGTGGAATATATGTCTTACTCTCTCCTTTGTCCAACAGTGACCATTAATATACATCATCTTGCTGTACTGACTGTAGCTGAAAAGGAGACTTTATATCATCATAAACTTTCAAAGACAGACACTGTAGGGGATGCTTACAAACCCAGAACTCAGTTATAGGTTGTCAGCAGCTGCCTTACCTCACACCTTTTTTCTGTGTCCTAAGAGCAATCTCTCTGTGATTGCCCAGTCTGAGCACTGCTGGGTAGCACATTTGTATCACACTGAAATCATATCTTTATCTGAACTCTGTAGTCATTCTTATGATGTTGTGTGCATAGTAGACAAAAAATAAATTATTGTCACTGTATTGTATAATATCACAATCCCTAGTTTTTCAGAATCCTGATAATTGAAGAAGAATTTTGCATTATTGATTTCAAAATTGATGTATGTTGGCTGAAATATGAATAACTTCTTCCCCTCAGATGTTTGGACATACTCACTTACCCACTGTGATGCAGGCTGGCAGCCGAATAATGGATTTTGCTATCTGCTGGTAAATGAAAGTGATTCATGGGATAACGCACATATGAAATGCAAAGCCTACAGCGGTGATCTCATCAGCATTCATTCTTTAGCAGATGTGGAAGTGGTTGTCACAAAACTCCATAATGGGGGTAAGTTTTTACAATATCCTATATGAAAGCTCTAAAGCATTGTAAAGCAATCCTATTTTTAGACTTTGTGGGAATGAAAAACTAGTCATTGGATCCAGTCAATATTTACTGTCCAGTAAGATTTTCTTGGATGGTGGTATCATTTTTATAATCTGTGCTGTCCACTACAATAATAGCTACATACTTGTGGCTTTTAAACAAGGGAAATATAGCTTAAGTTACTGAGAAATGGATGTTTACCTTTTTAAAGTTTTACTTAATTTAGAATTTTAAGTAGCCCCACATAGGCAGTGGCTGCTAATTCAATAGTAAAACCATTGATTGAATAAATTTCCTCTTCTCATAAGCTATATTCTAAGTTGCTCAGAAATGCTTCAGTAATGGTAATTTGTAATTATTACAAACTCACTTTGTAATTATTCAAAAATGAAAAAATCAGACCATGATACTCTAGACTGCCAATATTAAAACTTCCTCCTAGAATTCAACAGTAAATAGTGCATACCTATTCTTGATCAGTAGAGTGCTAATTGTTTTACCTGATTAGATGAATAGAATCCCATTAGAACTCAGATTCTTATGCCAGATTTGGGTCTAATGAGCTCCTTTCTCTCAGGACCATCAGTATAAAATTTAGGAGATAACCACAATTTAATCTGAAAACTCCCACTTTCTGAACTCATGTTCATATTTTCTAATGTGGGAAAGCAGTACCATCCTTTAAAAGCTTTGGTGAACAATATTTTTATTCTTAATATACCTATGATTGTATTTTTAGAATTTCATGATTTTCCATAAAGTTTATCTAAACCAGATAACAAAGACTCCTAGATGAGAGATCATAATATCACTATTCCCGTCTGCCTACTGTACCTGCAAAAGTGACCTGCAGGTATTAGAACATCCAGACCTGCCTAATTTAACAACATTTTAATACAAAATCCATTTAAATTCTTAAAAACCCCGTTCAGAATGTAAAAATCAGCAGCAATCTACATGTTCAAGTATGTTATTGAATAAAACCTAAAATACAAAACCATTTTCTTTTAGATACCAAAGAAGAAATATGGACAGGCCTTAAGAATACAAATACTCCAACTTTATTTCAGTGGTCAGATGGAACTGAAGTTACTCTAACATATTGGAATGAGAATCAACCAAATGTTCCCTATAATAAGACTCCCAACTGCGTTTCCTACTTTGGAAAGGTAAGAAGCCACTGTAAGAAGCCTCTGTGGTTTGTTTACATTCTTATTGTTGTAGCTAAGAATATCTGTAAGAATACTCTGATTTGGGGTATAAGAAGGGACCTTGGGATAATGGTGGAGGGAATCCTGGCACTCCAGTGAAGAGCATAGTGTAGCTGCACTACAGGTATAAAACAATAATATTCGTGCATTTGTAAAAACAAACAAAAAACTGAACAAATCAAACACAATCTCTTGCAAGAAACAAAGAACTTTTTTATTTTATTGTTTCTCATGTTTTCCAAGAGCAAAGTGAGAGCCTTGAAAAATCCATTTTCTAAGAATGACCGCAGCTGAAGAGAGAATCAGTGAGCCAGAAGATCAGCTGCACCAAGCCAACAGGCAACAACAAACAGTGGCAAGGGACCTCAAAATAGCTCTACAGAGAATCAGAGTCTTAGCAGATGATTCCAAGAGGAACAACATTAGAATCATAGGACTACCAGAAGCTCAGGGAAACAACCCCAACGAAACAAAACGGTTAAACAAATCATTGCTGAAAAATTCCCAGAGCTCCACAGTGCAGCCATTCAGGTTCAAGGAGCCCAAAGGGTACCAGCTAAAAGAGACCCTAACAAAAACACTCCAAGACATATCATAGTTAGAATGATTGATGCTGCCAATAGAGATACAATACTGCAAGCAGCAAGGTCAAAGAAGGAAATCACATACAAAGGAGCACCCCTTAGATTCACAGCAGATCTATCAGAGGAAACCATCCAAGCCCGAAGGCAGTGGCGAGATATAGTGAAAAAACTCACTGAAATGAATGCTTCACCAAGAATACTCTATCCAGCTAAACTCTCACTCAAAATCAAAGGAACAGCACACTATTTTCTAGACAAACAGCAGCTCAGGAACTTCATAGACTCAAAACCAAACCTAAAACAAGGACTAAAGGGGATACTAATAAGATAAGACAAACCCTACAACCACAAAACACCCTTACAGAAAGATGACACAAAACCCCATAACAATAATCTCTCTCAAAGTCAACGGTCTAAATTCACCAATTAAGAGACACAGAGTAGCAAAATGGATTCAGAGACAGAACCCAACATTCTGCTGACTACAAGAAACTCATCTCAACAGCCAGAGCAAACACAGACTCAATGTCAAATGATAGAAAACAATCCTGCAAGCAAACACCTTCCTCAAAAAAAGCTGGGGTGACCATACTAGTATCCGACAGCTTTAATTTAGCATTGAAAAAGATTAGAAGGGACAGTGAAGGCTATTTTCTCTTCATTAAGGGTTACGTACCACAGGAAGAAATCACACTCTTAAATGTATATGCACCTAATGAGGGAACAGCTAAATATTTAAAACAACTGCTAACAGATTTTAAGGAGGATATTGCTAGCAATACAATAGTAGCTAGAGATTTCAACATCACCTTATCACCTCTGGATAGATCAACAAGAACAAAACTCAGCAAGGAAACATTGGCTTTGAAAGAAGAAATAGAAGAGAGAGGGCTTATAGACCTATACAGGGCTTTACACCCCAAAAAGAAAGAATACACATTCTTCTCCAGTGCACACGTAACATTTTCCAAAATATACCATGTACTAGGACACAAATCATACCTCAAGAGAATCAGGAAGATAGAAATAGTATCAACAATCTTTTCAGACCATGATGCACTGAGAATAGAAGTGAATCACACAGACATGGAGAACCAAATCAAACACCTGGAAATAAAACAACTCAATGCTTAACAACAAGTGGATCAGGAAGGAAGTCAAGGACGAAATCAAAAGATACTTGGAAACAAATGAGAATGAAGACACGAGCTACCAGAACTTGTGGGATGCAACGAAAGCCGTTTTAAGGAGAAAATTTATAGCTCTGCAAGCATATCTCAGGACAGAAGAAACAATGCACATAAACAACCTGACTTCACAGCTCGAGATCTTAGAAAAGTATCAAAAGAAGGAGCCAAAATCGGGCAGAAGTAAAGAGATCATAAAACTTAGAGGAGGAATCAACGACATGGAAACCAAAGAAACAATCTGAAAGATCAATGAAACCAAGAGCTGGTTCTTTGAGAAAATAAATAAGATAGAAAAACCACTAGCAACACTCACAAAGAAAAAGAGAGAGAGAACCCTAATAAATCAAATCAGAAATAAGAATGAGGATGTCAGAACAGAAACCAAAGAAATCAAAAGATCATCAAAGACTACTTTGAAAGTCTGTATGCCACGAAACAAGAGAACCTAGAAGAAATGGTTAAATTCCTGGATTCCTGTCATCTCCCAAAGCTGAATCAATAAGATATAGAGTACCTGAATAGACCTATCCACATCAACAAAATTGAAACTGTAATCAAAAGCCTTCCCAAAAACAAAAGCCCAGGTCCAGATGGATTCACTAGAGAATTTTTCCAAACATTTAAAGAGGACCTACTGCCAGTTCTTCTCAAGCTTTTCCAGGAAATTGAAAAAACAGAAACTCTCCCAAACAGTTTCTATGAATCCCATATCTCTCTAATACCAAAAGGAAACAAAGACACCACAAGAAAAAATAACTTCAGGCCGATATCCCTGATGAACACAGATGCGAAGATTCTCAACAAACTTAGCAAATAGAATTCAACAACTCATCAAAAGGATCATACACCATGATCAAGAAGGATTCATCCCAGGGATACGAGGATGGTTCAACATTTGGAAATCAATCAACATAATCCATCATATCAATAAAAGAAAAGATAAAAATCATATGATCATATCAATAGATGTAGAGAAAGCATTTGACAAGATCCAGCACCCATTTATCATGAAAAGCCTTGCCAAAATGGGGATAGAGGGGACTTTCCTCAATATAGTTAAAGCCATCTACCACAAACCTACAGCAAACATCATCCGCAATGGGGAAAAACTGAGAGCCTTTCCCCTAAGATCAGGGATGAGACAAGGATGCCCACTCTCTCCACTACTGTTCAGTATAGTACTGGAAGTACTTGCAATAGTGATTAGGCAAGAAAAAGATATTAAGGGCATCCAGGTAGGGAAGGAAGAAATCAAGCTTTCACTATTCGCAGATGATATGATACTATACTTAGAGAACCCTAAAACCTCTACCAAGAAACTCCTAGAAAGAATAGACTTGTATAGTAAAGTGGCAGGCTATAAAATCAATACCCAAAAATCTATGGCTTTCCTATATGCAAATAGTGAAAGAAAAGAAAGTGACATGAAGAAAACAATCCCATTCACAATTGTGCCCCAGAAAATCAAGTACCTGGGAATCAGCTTAACTAAGGAATTAAAGGACCTGTACAAAGAAAACTACAAAACGCTACTTCAGGAAATAAAAGAGGACACGAGGAAATGGAAAAATATCCCCTGCTCATGGATGGGGAGAATTAACATTGTCAAAATGGCAATACTTCCCAAAGCACTGTACAAATTCAATGTGATCCCTATAAGGATACCCATGACATTCTTCAAAGAAATGGAGCAAACACTCCTGAAATGTATATGGAACAATAAGCCCCCCACGAATAGCTAAAGCAATTCTTGAGAAAAAGAAAATGGGAGGAATCAACCTTGCCAACTTCAAGCTCCACTACAAAGCAGTAATAATTAAAACAGCATGGTACTGGAACAAAGGCAGAGCTGCAGACCAATGGAACAGAGTTGAATATACTGACACATCCTCCCAAGCATATGATCATCTAATCTTCGATAAGGGGGCAAGAAAAGTGAAATGGAGTAGGAATGCCTCTTTAACAAATTGTGCTGGCAAAACTGGACGGCTACATGCAAAAAAGTGGGCTCAGATCTCTGCCTAATGCCATGCACAAAAGTAGATCAAAATGGATTTATGACCTCAACATCAGACCAGAATCCATAAAGTTCATTGAAGACAAAGTTGGCAAAACCCTTCATGAGATTGAAGCTAGTGTCACGCCACTGGCCAAGCAAGTGAAAACAGAGATAGACAAATGGGACTATCTTAAAACTAAGAAGCTTCTGCACCTCAAAAGAAGCACTGACCAAAATACAAAGACAGTCTACAGAATGGGAAAGGATATTTGCCAAATCCACATCCAACAAGGGGTTGATATCAAGGATATACAAGGTACTGGTTGAACTCCACAAGAAGAAAACACCCAACACCATCAAAAAATGGGGCAAGGAAATGAACAGAAACTTTCGCAAAGAAGAAATCTGAATGGATAAAAAGCATATGAGAAAATGCTCTTCATCATTAATCATCAGGGAGATGCAGAACAAAAAAACAATGAGATATCATTTCACACCACAGAGACTGGCCCATGTCCGAAAGAACAAAAGGAACCGGTACTGGCACGGATGTGGCGAGAAAGGGACCCTCCTTCACTGCTGGTGGGAATGCCAGCTGGTCCAACCCTTTTGGAAAACAGTATGGACGATTCTCAAAAAATTAGAATTTGATCTCCCATTTGACCCAGCAATGCCACTTCTGGGAATATATCCCAGAGAGGCAAAGAAGTATAGTCAAAGTGATATCTGTACTTGTTTGTTCATTGCAGCACTCTTTACAATAGCCAGAATCTGGAAAAAAACCTGAGTGCCCGAGAACAGATGACTGATTAAAGAAACTTTGGTACATTTACACAATGGAGTACTATGTAGCTGTTAGAAAAGATGAAATAATGAAATTCACATACAAGTGGTACTACATGGAAAGTATCATGTTAAGCGAAATGAGTCAGAAAGCGTGGGATAGACACAGAAAGATTGCATTCATCTGGGAAACATAAAACAACAAAATGGGAGACTAATACCAAGGAGTGGCTGAGATTAGTACCAGGAATTTTGCTTGGAGGCCAGCCACACGTGCTAGGGGAAAAGGAAGCTCAGATAGAGAAGAGAGCACCAAATGAAAGGTGTTGGGAGGATCCTCCCAGGGTGGGAGAAGCATGCTGAAAGTAGACTATAGACCAAACATGATTGCCACTCAGTGCCTCTCTTGCAAACCACAGGACCCAAAAGGAGAGAGAGAGAACAAGAGGGAATGCCCTGCCACAGAGGCGGGGGAGGAGGGGGATGCTGGGACCCGTGGTGGTGGAAAATGGGCGCTGGTGGAGGGATGGGTACTTGATCATTGTATAACTGAAACACAAGCACAAAAATTTGTAAGTCTATAACTGTACCTCATGGGGTTTCACTAATAAAAAACATCCTTTTTCTAGCCATGAAAACCTCCTTTTTCAGCCCTTCCAAGCCTCAGCATGCCCCTGCCCTAGAAACTATCCAGGATCTTTCTTCCATCTTTCCCTCACTTCTTTTGTGTACAGTGTTGCTGCATCTTTATGTATCCTGAAGAACTATATACCTTTTTACTAAATGCCACATTAAATTAACTATTGTGGGATTTTTAACCTCAATCTTAAAAGTTTTTTTTCAAAAATACTACCTTCCTTGGGATATTTGTGTTTAAAGTAAAAATACATTCTAATAACTGGAGGAAAAAAGATAAATCATTAACTAGGTAATCTATATCCTTTTCTGAAACTCTCTGCTCTCTATGGCCAGATGATAGGGCTCTATTTAGTTAATTCATTTATTTTGTTTCTTTATGTACCATATATGAGTAAAAGTATATGGTATTTGTCTTTCTCTTTCTGAGCTACTTCTTGATTTTTCTTCTGAGCTACTTTACTAAGTATAGTACCTTATAGGTCTGCCCATGTTGTTACAAACAACAGAACATCAACTTTTCCTTGTGTCCTAAAATTTTTAAACTGTGGGTGAACTTTTGCCATATCATATAAAAATAAGTAAATAAAAACCTAGAATATCTGTAACTGTTATGGAACAGATTTTCTCTTACTCTCCTATAGTGTGTCTTTTGATGGTTTTATTTTTTTTTAAAGAAATGGAATTTCCTCAAATATTATTATAAGGAAATGGAATTCATCTGCATTATGACCTTAGGGTGATGCTGAAATGACAGGCTGTGATCTAGCACCTATGGTCCTAAAGGAGCCTACATTTCTAGGAGTATGTTCTCAGATTAAGCAATAGCACAGAGGGTAGGGCATTTGCCTTGCATGCGCCAACCAGGGTTCTATTCCTCCATCCCTCTCAGAGAGCCCGGCAAGCTACCAAGAGTAGCCCACCCACACGACAGAGTCTGGCAGGCTACCCCTGACGTATTTGGTATGCCAAAAACAGTAAAGAACAAGTCTCACAATGGAGACTTGTTACTGGTTACTGGTGCCTGCTTGAGCAAATTGATGAACCACGGGAGGACAGTATTACAGTGCTATGTTCTCAGATTTAATCATGCCTTTACATTCATTCTAATCCATTCCCTGTCTTCTCCTTTGCTTCTTCTTCTTCTCTTCTTGCTCTCCTACCCTCAATATTATATGAAAAAATGTTGGTTCAAAAATAAGTTATCCTTGGGGCTGGAGTGATAGCACAGCAGGTAGGGCATTTGCCTTGCACGCGGCTGACCCAGGTTCGATTCCCAGCATCCCATATCGTCCCCTGAGCACCACCAGGAGTAATTCCTGAATGCAGAGCCAGGAGTAACCCCTGTGCATCGCTGGGTGTGACCCAGAAAGCAAAAAAAAAAAAAACAAGTTATCCTTCATCTCTAAATATAAGGTAAATAATTATGCTGTGGGGAAATTTTTTTTTAAAGCTCGGACAATGGAAAGTTCAGTCATGTGAAGAGAAACTTAAATATGTATGTAAGAAGAAGGGAGAAAAAATAAATGATACGGATTCTGAGAAAATATGTCCTCCAGAAGAGGTATGTAAAATCTTTGCATATATTTTCCTCAGCTAGAAAACTCAGGAAAATCTTTGCATATATTTTCCTCAGATTGCACCTTCCTAAAGTTGGTAGGTGACACTTAAAACAGATCAGATTTGGATAACAAAAGAATTTACTAGCTTTTGTTTGTTTATGTTAAAGAGGGCAGTAGGATAGTAAATTCCAGTATATTAGCATTCTGATAATATCAGAGAATAAAAATTTTCTGGTTATGAACATCTATAGAACTGTATGTGATTGTTGTCTTCAATGCTGAGATCTTGACTTCACCTTTATTATACATATTCAAAAATAATACAATCAACAGCTGTTATTATGATGAGCTAAATACAGAGGACAAAAGGTTAAAGATACTTTTTGTCTGACACTAATATGTAGTCTTGCTACAGTGTTCTGTGAAGATATATTCCACCCTTGTCATGTCTATGCATTCACAAACCATGTCCTTATTTCCTTCAAGTTATAAGATGTTAGCATGTAGCACAACTTTGCTTGTAAGAGGAACATCAATCTGGAAGATAATGTGATTATCTTTCTCTTGTGATTTAGGGCTGGAAAAGACATGGGGAAACCTGTTACAAGATTTATAAGGATGAAGTCCCTTTTGGAACCCAGTGCAATCTGACAATAACAAGCAGGTATGATACTAGTAAACATTTACTAAAGAACTATTCAGTCTGGATTTCTTTGCTAAATCATCTTTCTAAGATGAATTTATATAGTATTTTTACCTTTGTAAAAAACACTTGCTAATTTGACTGTTTTACAGATTTGAGCAAGAATACTTGAATGATATGATTAAAAAGTATACTAAATCCCAAAATAAATACTTCTGGACTGGCCTGACAGATAAAGATAAACTTGGAGAGTATAGTTGGTCAATTGCTGGTGGAAGAAAGCGGGCTCTCACCTTTTCCAATTGGAATTATCTTGAACCAGGTGAGAACCTTAGCTTTTAAAAAAAATAAAATACAACTATTAATGAAGTACAGTATCCCTCTCAAATTGCCTTCAAAATGTGGTAATCTTAAGGACCCTGTTTATCTGTAGCACTGTTGTCCCATTGTTCATGGATTTCCTTGAGCGGACACCAGTAACGTCTCCATTGTGAGACTTGTTACTGTTTTGGCATATCGAATACGCCACAGGGAACTTGCCAGGCTCCGCCGTGTGGGAGGCATACTCTCGGTAGCTTGCCAGGCTCTCCAAGAGGAACAGAGGAATCAAACCTGCGTCGGCTGCATGCAAGGCAAATGCCCTACCTGCTGTGCTATCGCTCCAGCCTCTCTGTTTATCTATGGACCATAAATAAAAACTGTGACTTCTTCTTTTCTATAAAATCCTTGGTAATAATTCAACATAAGAAGCTAGAAAACTCAGTTTTTAGCTTCAACAACAAGAACTAGAACATCAATATGAGATCTTTTACATATAAGTCACAAACAGAATCTAGAAAATTTGTTGTAAAGCACTTTAATTTTATGTGTGAAGTGCCTTATTATTTTGATATTGCTGTTTCCTGGCTTCTTTCTACAAAATTTAATATTTTTATTATTCTCAATGGATGAGAATTAAGAAACATGTGATACATATTTTGTATTCTGAAATTTAGTTTATCCTTTGTTAGCTAGCCAAAAGCACTAACAATAATTTCTCAGAATCAGCATATGTGTGCCAGATAGGATCTTAAAATTCCCTTCTGATTTTAAAGTTAAGAAAGCAGAGGCTTTGAAAGATGATTTGACAGAGGTTACATAGTTATTATTTTAGTAAGATCCAGAAATCTTAATTTTTCATCCAGTGCTTTTTAGAGGAGTTTTGCTTTGTATAAGATAACAGTTGTAATACATTCTACTTTTCCACCTTTGAGTTATTTATATATTTTTTGTTTGTCTAATGTGACCATGAGGACTATTTCTTATAATTCAGAAATTAGAACATGTGAATTCATAGTTTTAAATGCCTACAAAATTTATAATGCATGATCATCACTATGAATGTGAGAAGCATTGATAATAACAAAGTCCTTTTTGTTAATCATACAAGGTAAAGAATGCAAGTATTAATTCTAGTTAAATATTATCTTAAATGATAATATTGTGGGGCTAGAGAAATAGTACAGCAGTTAAGATGCTTACCTATGTGGCCCAAATCCCAGTACCATGTATGGATGTTTCCCTTAGCATTACAGGAGTAACTCCTAAGCACAAAACCAGGAGTGATCCCTTAGAACCACAGGGTATGTCCCAACCATCCACCCAAATTATAATATTGTAATATATAACACACATGAAATTTATCTTATCTTAGAGTCAATATTATATTCTTCCTCAGTAAGTTCATTGGTTAAAGAATAACTTAGGAAGTAGTTGCAATGACTATTCCTTCTTCCCTGTAGCTAGAAAGACTGCCATTAAGGTTTCTTCACAGTACTTAACTCTCAGCGTCAGTCACCTCCTTCTATCAATGGAAAACCATTGGTAGGAGTAAAACAGAGTAAATCACAAATCTATCCAGTACTGCACTGAACAATTTTCCCTTGCTCCTGTTGATGTCATGTGTAAGTAAAAAACACGAGACCATCTGGCTTCTCTTTTTAGTGTGGTAGAAGTTATCACCGTTTTTGTTCAGTGTTTGTGATTTTTCTATCTACGTCAGTTTGGTGCTATGAAGAGAGAACTTTTGCCTGGCAAATAATGGGTTCAAGCCCTAGCTCTACCTATTCATTAAACTATGATTTTCAACACTCATTAATTATGATTGTCAGCAAGTTACTTTTTTTGTGGGGTGGGCATGTCCAGTGATACTTGGGGCTTACTCCTGGCTCTGTTCTCAAGAATCACTCCTGGTGGGTTTGAAGAACCATAAGGCGTGCCAGGAATTAAACCCAGGTAAGGCTGTATGCAAGGCAAACTCCCTACATGCTGTAGTATTGCCACCATCATTCTCATTTTTATGAGTGACATATTTTCCTCCATGTTCTTTCCAATTTTTTGTCCTCACCATGGTTCAATAAAAGGATAGAGACATTAAAAATGTCTGAACTTTCATTTTAAAATGTAACTTTTAAATAAGAATTTCCAATTCAACCCCAGCTTTTCCAGGCGGTTGTGTGGCTATGTCTTCTGAAAGATCCCTTGGCAAGTGGGAGGTGAAAGACTGCAAGAGCTTTAGAGCACTTTCAATTTGCAAGAAAATAAGTGGACCCACTGAGACAGAAGAAGCAGCTCCCAAGCCCAAAGACTTAACCTGTCCTGAAGGCTGGCATACTGTGACCTCAAGTCCTTTCTGTTATAAGGTAAAGTAATGGTCTCATTCAGTCCCTTAGTGAAATTATCCGTCTTCCATTCTAGTACAGAATCTTGTGCAAATTGTATTCCTCCCCACACCTACCCTAATTTCTCCCCAGACCTATCCCAAAGTGTTTGGGGCGCAGAATCCTTGTTGGTACATTAGTAAATCTCTGGTAACAGACAGCTGATCCACACACACACCACTCGTGCTCTACCCTAAAGAGAAGGGACCTCAAGCCTGAACTGGCAATTACCTAAGTTTCTTATGTTTGGGGAAGTTGGTAAGCTGCATGCCATAATGACTTTGCTTATGATTTTCATATCCTTTTCATTCTTGTTGTCAAAGGAAGCATTCTATTACATTTAATGTAAAAAACATTTAGGGTCTGTATTGATTTCCCAGTCTAACCATTACAGCCCCAAAATCCAGTAGCAAGGACAACAGTGTTTCATATTCACAAATCTTTGGGGCCAGCTATTGTTTGCTTGATCAAAGTAAATGTTCAGCTCTTATTGTTTAACTCAAGTTGACTGTGTTATGCAACAGACTACGAATTGAAGTATTCTCACCTTCAATCTGGTACTAAATGGTTAACAGCTATCAGAAATTTTTCTTCTCGTGGTCAATCACTGGTGATTGAGAGGCAAGCCCAAGCACACAAACACATTCCAATCCTCTTTTCACTTTACCTCTGTAAATATCCTGTTGATCACAGCAAGTAACATGACTGAGTCAAGGTGCAGAAAACATACTCCATTCCATCTGGAGGCCATGACCAAATGTGTATATTTTTAAGGAAAATGAGAATCAGGACCAATAAATTTGCCTATCATTGTGTTATCTACTCTTTTCTCTTAAAATGGTTCCTTTGGTATTAAATTAGTCATCACAAATCAAGGAAACAATGTGACAGGTTTTGTTTTGCCATCTCTGTCAAGATTTGCACATCAGTGAATCCTACTCTTTTACTCTTCTTCGTCATAAAATTGTCCTTTACTCGTTCAAATCTCAATACCTTGTGTTCAGAACTGTGCTGTTAACACATTTCTTTATGCAAAAGTTCAATCCTAAAGCATTCCTGTGTGTCCTTTGCAGACCCATTCCTATTCCCATTCATTTTTCTCCTTCTAGTTCCTAGGAGAGCATGATATCTTGTTGGAGAACTTTCCCATCCTAGCCGAGGAAAGCCATCCTTCTGATAGTGTGCCTGCACCTGCTGCTGCCCTTTAGTTGACACTGTTAGTAAGAATTATTTGAGCCCCAGTATAATGTGCATTTATGTATGTCTCCATTATATCTATAAGAATCCATCTCTGATGCCTCTACAATTGATGGTAACTTTAAAATTATAGGTATTTTATGATTATCAGAAAACAAATTAATATTCTATTTTGTTAAGCTGTTTCACAGAGAAAGAATTATAAGAAAGAGGAACTGGGAAGAAGCTGAAAGATTCTGCCAAGCACTTGGAGCACACTTGCCCAGCTTTAGTCATACGAGTGAAATAAGGGAATTTCTTCAGTTTTTAATGGACCAGTTCAGGTAATACTTTCAGAGATTATCTGTGTTAAATTTGATGTTACTTCAGATCCCAGCTCTCACTATAAATGTAGTTAACATTTAATGTAAAACCATTTCATTTTTCCATTTAGTTTATTGTAAAGACTATGCAATTCTTATTTTTTCCTAATAGCAAAGGTAGTATGTAATGAATTCACAAAAAAAAACAAAAAATTACAAAAAAATAACTCACTGTAATCAATTCACTTATATGACCGTACTTTATTTGTATTTTTATACATATAACACAGGCTGTATGAAGCAGACTGTGCTGTCTGCACAATACATGCTTCATTAATCAAAGGACTGTTCGCCCATGCTATACTCAGGAAAGAAACATATTTTAAGACCAGCATTTTACCATGGCTTAAAAAGAAGGAAGCAATCTCATTTATATCAGAAAATGATTCTAAAGCCTACTCATTGAAAACCTTCTTTTTATTGTAGGAATTAACCTTTCTCTGCAAGATGTCCATTGACCAAATTGTGTATTACATGACAAGAGTTAAGTCAGATTACCTCTATATTCCTCCTAATCTAATTTCTACATCTCTGTTTGTATTTCAGTGAAAAGGGGCACCAAGTCATTAGAGTGCCAAGAGTCTGGTACCCACCGGGGATAAACATTGTAGAACAAAAATAGTCATAGGATTAGAGAAACCTTGTTTGCAATGCCTGTGCTGCTGTATGCACTACCTGCTGTGTTGTAGCATGAATGGATTTAGATATAAATCTAAGGCTTTGCAGTCTAAGCACCCTCATCAAATAGTGTTTATGGGGGGTTATGACTGAGATGCTTAGATACCAAATGCAGCAGAAAAATAGACTGAGAGTAGAAATTTTTACACAGATATACATATTAACCTTTCATGCAGTGTCTTCTTACCCTAATATCCTCAAAACCATATCCTGAGTGCTTGGAATAGAAGAAATTTATATACACATACATACATATATGTACACACACAGATATATATAGTGTGTTTGTATTCATATATATATATACAGAGAAGGAATTTCAGTTTGATTTGGTTCTCCATTAATGATCAGATTTTTCCCTCAAATTTCCTAAAATCCATATTAGAGGTGTTCAGTGATGAAGGCAATTTTTAATTTCTTCCTTTTCTTTGCACACAGATAAACCAAACCAAGGCAAGAATAAGTTACAATTGTGGTGATATTTTCCAGTCCTTACCATACATGCAAAATCCAAGTAGCTATTATCTTCCATACTTATAGCACACTAATACATCCCTTGAAACAGAAACCAAAACCTATAATGTGTGGTTGAAATGAAGTTAATCTTCAGGAACAGTAAAGATTAGAACCTTCTAACAATCAGGCAGACTGTGCTCTAGAAAACTAGCCTTGAAAGATAGCAGAGGAAGCAGAAATGGACTTGAAAGCAGGGGATTCTAAGAGGGAAGAAGTGGCATAGAGAAAGGCTGGGTGGTAAAGTTGAGAACAGATTTCTAAAGAGGCTTTTCCATGGAAGGTGACTACAGAGTAAATGCAGATGATCTTTACTTATTTTCCAGGTTGATTGTCTAGAGACAACAATATTTGTAATACCTACTTTAAGGAAATAAATTCTGGGTGTCAAAGAGATAGTTCAGTGGTTAAGGTGCATGCCTTTCTAGTAGCTGATCCCAGTTTTATGGCCAGCACCACATGGTGCCCTGTGTATTGCTGGGTGCAGCTCCAGATATCCCTGAGCACTGACATGTGTGGCCCTTTAAGACTTTGAGGTATTGAGGCTGGGTGGCACTGGAGGCCTCCAAACTCCACTGGGGTGACCCTTGTACTTCCTCGATAGGAGTAGTACCACATCTTCAGACCCTTGCATTGAACCTGTGGCATGGCTGGCTGGATACAAATTCCCCAGGCCCCAAATATATGATATGGAAGGATTTGAAAGAAATGAAGTAAATATAAGGGAACAAATTACAGTTCCTCTTTATTTTATCCATCTGACTTTAGTTATATTCGTTATGGCAATTATCTACACCCTGTGATTAAGCATCGGGAAGTATAGTATTTGGGATCCTGTAAAAATAGCTCCAATTAGTTGGGAAACACAAATATAAATTCCTCTCAGAGCTACTAAACTCATTTGGACTTAATTGTTTCCACTGTATTTAAGTATACAAATCAGTGATCTTTCTTTATGCAAGAAAACTAGATAGCAATAAAAACTGAAAGGGGCACAGTTCTCATAAGATTGAAAAGCTTGAGGCTAAAGAGATGTAAAGCAGGGATATGAAGCAGGGAATGCTGAACAGAAGATTAAAAAAGCAATGATTTTATCTTAAAGTGAGAAATTAATTTAAAATTAATCTTACTTTAGTCTTTAATGTACTAAAAATGTTTTTAATACTTCCCTATAGTCTTAAAGCTGCATATTTCTGTATGCTATATATCCTTCTAAGTATTGGGATAAGGGTTAATTTTATTTTTGGATCTTATCTTTTCTCTAATATTTGTTGCATTTGCAAACACAAAACACTTATATGTGAATTATGCTTAAATACATAATTTGTACCTTTATTCTGATCATAAAGCTATATGCTGTTAGAAAATTAAATTTTAAGTAAGGTAGTCTATAAAGGCCTGTGGTGTTATACTTTTGGGCAAGTCTTTTACAAGTGAGGTTAAAGAAAACTTTAATGGTTTTGTTATTTACTTATACTGGAAATATATTCTTGAAAAGAGCTTAGATTTAAGTGAGGAGAAGGGAGCATTTAAATGTATGTTTTGCCTATTGGTTTGTGGATATGTTCTTCCTTAAAATGCCTGTTCTTTCTCCTGTCAGCTAGTCTGAATAATAGTACATGTTAGATACTCAGGTAATGCTCTAAAGAAGCATTAACCATTCTTCGAAGACTGTCCTACCAATCTCACAAAACATTCACTGATTTCTTATAGTCCACAATTCTCTCTCCTCATCTTAGATTTTTGTAGTGCTCAAAATGTAAAAAATTTTAAACTGGTGATGGGTGTGGCTTGGAATTATGTAAATGGGAAACCATATTATGCATATCATACATCACTAAAAAGATGCATACAAAATGTATATCATTTGATGTGTTTCAAAATATTTTATATTTTTATATACACATTTTCATGTATGTATGTATACGTATATATATGTGTATTTATGTATATTTTATCTCCCTTAATAATTTATTTGCCTCTTATGGTTCACTATTAGGTCTTGTGCTTCAATTTATCAGTATTTTTTGTAACTCAATTATCTGTACATAAAAGTATTATGATTATGAGTATTAAGTATTATCAACTAAGCAGTTAATTATAGTATAGCTCTATATAGCACTGTCCTCCCGTTGTTCTTTGATTTGCTCGAGTGGGCCCAGTAACGTCTCCATTGTGAGACTTGTTGTTACTGTGTTTGGCATATCGAATACATCATGGGTAGCTCGCCAGGCTTTGCCATGCAGGCGGGATACTCTCGGTAGCTTGCAGGGCTCTCTGAGAGGGGCGGAGGAATCAAACCTGGGTCGGCCGGGCTGGCCACATGCAAGGCAGATGCTCTACCACTGTGCTATCACTCCAGCCAGCCCAGTAATAATGCAATTATATTGCTATGGCATAACCCATGCTGTTTTAATTTAGAAAATGCTACAATACTTGTTTACTATAAATTCGATGGGTAGTAGGAATTATTTTTTAAATTTTGTTTAATAAAAATGTAACCATTGTTGTATTTTCTTGTATTTGAGACCATTGCCTAATGTTAACATTCTGTAGTAAAAGTTTCAGAATAATCATATGCTATTTTTCCCCTCTTACATTTAAAGCAGAATATTTTTTTGCCATTTATATAAGAAAACAGGGATTGGAGCAATATAGAGGGGGTAACGCATGTGCATATGGCCAACATGGGTTCCGTCTCCAGGACCCTCATGGTTCCCTGAACAGCACCAGGAGTGATCCCTGAACACTGCCAGATGTGGCAAAAAAAAAAAAAAGACAAGAAAGAAAGAAAGTGATAGAGAAATAACATGTCAGGGATGTGGCTCTATAGTCCATGTCTTACATATAGAGGCCCTGAGTTTGATTCCCAGCACTTCCTAGAATATTAAGTTAAAGTTTATACACTTTTTACATTTAGAGCTTGATTTCATATGAGAAGTCAAACTGAGGAAATAGATGAAAGTTCTGGTGCACAAGGTTTGTGACTGAAACTCCAGGTTTGAGCCCAGGTACCACATTGTCCACCAGTAACCTCACAGCAAGAGTGGCCCATAAGGCACAACTGAATTATTCTCCCCCGTCAAAAATATAATAATAATAATAACAACAACAACAATAAACCGAAAGAACTGGGACAGCATTATTTTTCTGTTTTTATTTTTGGGTCACACCCAGCAATGCTCAAGGCTTTCTCCTGGCTCTACACTATGGATCGATCACTCCTGGCAGGATCCAGAAAACATGCAGGGTGCCAGGGAATGAACCCAGGTCAGCTAAGTGCAGGGAAGCACCCTTCCTGCTGCACTATCCCTCCAGTTTTGACAGCTACATTTTTTTGAGGGAGAAAGCATTCCCAGCAGTACTTAAGGGACCATATAATGACAGGGATTAAAACCAGGGCTTCTGCAAAGTTTGTGCTCAAGCCATTTGAATTATCTACCCAGCCCCGTGACAGAGTCTCTTGAATAAACATATGTCTTAAGAATTTTACGTGCAAATGTTTAATATTTTAGCCAAATCCCATGCTGAGAAATATTTTTAACACTTTGTCCTTTTTATGAAAATAAAACCCTGTATTCATTTATTTCTAAGCCCATTTAACACTTTCTTTTCACATAGTGACCAGCGTTGGATGTGGATAGGTTTGAATAAAAGGAGCCCAGATTTACAAGGATCATGGCAATGGAGTGATTATACACCTGTAAGTTGGAATCTTTTTGTATGGAATAATGTGGAAGAATTATTTGTTTCAATAATGAATAAGTTAATTATTAAGTAATATAGCCACATGCCATACAACTATTAAAAATTATATAGATTTCTCTTTATGGAAATGAAAATAGACTCACATGTATAAGTAGGGGAAAACCAAGTTATTGACACCATTTCTAGTTTTTTTATGTTTTAAAAAGCATTTTTTTTAGATTTTTATTAGTAAGACACCATGAGGTACAGTTGTAGACTTACAAATTTTTGTGCTTGGGTTTCCGTTATACAGTGATCGAATACCCATCCCTCCACCAGTGCCCACTCTCCACCACCACCGATCCCAGCATCCCTACCATCCCCCGCCCCACCATCCCACCCTGCCTCTGTGGCAGGGTATTCCCCTTTGTTCTCTCTCTATTTGTTTTTAAAAAAACACATAAGCATTTCAGAAATGAGTGCCAGAAATTGTTATCAACAGCTTTACAAATTATAATAAATTGTAAATATTTTAATTAATTTTTAAAAGAAATTAATAAATTTCTTTCTGTATATACTTAAAAATATAGAGATAATGATAATTTATGAGTGTATACTTTTTTCTTACTTTTGTCAGAAACTAATTTTATTATCTAAAATATGTCATGAAAAAGAAAGTATGCGTATTAGCCAAAAAAAAATGTTTAAGGTAACTTTTAAAATAGTATCTCAAATGTATAAATTATCCTATGGATGGATTTTATGTAAAACTTACAGGAATTAGTTATGGTCAAATATAAAGTGTTTTACATTATCATTATGTCAGTTCATTTTGTATTTTTTCTAAATGTAAAATTTCTCACTTTAATTTTCAGATTAGAGCATCTCTGACATTAGTTCACAAAAAAAGCTAGCATTTCAATACATATGAAAATAGAATGTTCTTTGCAAGCTCCATATTCTCTTTGACTCCAGTTAAGAAATTATCATGGTGATAGTTATCACCATGATAATTATCATCTTCCTAAACTATGGTCTCTTTTGGAATCAATGACATAGCATTTTCTCTTTCAGTTTAGCTCGAGGTAAAATAAAGTAACATAAATATGTTAAAATAGTTTTTTTCTGTGGCATATGACTATATTTAAATGATTAGAACTGCCTAAATTATATCTAAACTAAATACTTATATATCGGCTTTAAATTCTCAAGCTTCTCTTTATCTTTTAAGGTATCTACTGTTACCATGCCAAATGAATTGCAGCAGGATTATGATATTAGAGACTGTGCTGCTGTCAAGGTCAGTACAATGCTAAAAATCCACATATTTCAAAAATAAACCTGGCTTGTGTGCATTAAGACAACAGGTCTATATTCAAGAAAGATAGCTCTTACTATTATGTAGAAGAAGGCTCCAAGAGTCTTAGGAGGGCCAGTGAAACTCACAAAAGAGAGTTCTGTGACTCCTATTTCCAAAAGACACTGGGCATTGGAAGATGGATAAAGTGGGCATGGGTAAGATAAGCCTTTGTTTGTGTTCCCTGGCCTCCAAACTGGGGAATGATAAGAGGAGACAGCATAGAACAAAGTGGGAGTAGAAGGGAGGGGACAAAGTAGTAAGGCAGAAAAAAGATTGATCATGCAGTTTCAATTGGTGCTATGGCTGAAAACAAAGTTAAGACATTATATTCATGCCAGGTTAAGGAATCTGTATATTTTTCATAGTATGACATTACATTGTCAAAGGTCTTTTACATAAACCAAGTTATGCTTGAAGATGATTCATCTTGAGGGCATATCGCAAAACTCAACAGATGGAGGTCAGGTGGAGCACACGCCTTGCTTTTGTGGCATTAGTCTTCTGACCACCCCCGTCATATCCTCCTGTTTTGTTCTTCCTTGCTTACAAAGACTGAATGTTGTAGTGAACCATCTTGGTCCACACTCGAGGAAGAAGGCAGAATTCTAGAATTGCAGAACAACACTAGAGAAAGAGCCTGGCCCCTAGTTCCATATTTTTATTTCACATTTTTACAAGGTAGCTTTAATTGTATGCTGGTGTTCAGATACCTCTGAATTATATAATGTGCTCTTTTGGGTCCCCTTTGAAAAACACTGTTCTTGATGTGTCTCAAACTTAAATGTAATTTAGATTCTACAATTTTGTAGCAACAAAAGTAGTTACAACTTAATAAGTTACATTTGGAGGTAAACATTGCTTTATATTTCCATTATCTGTTCCTTTGAATGTGCATCCTGCTTGAAAACTGTTCATTCATTAAAGGCTGTAGTAGGTGTTAGAGCTAAAATACAGGGGAAGACCACAGAAATTATAGTTTAATACTTTACAGGAATGTATCAGATCCAGAATTTTCTGTAATCTTCCTCCTTTAGGCTGTTCATTGGCCATGGCGAAGAATGAGGTATTTCTATAATGACAGAGAATATTTTCATTTAAGACCTTTTGCTTGTGACACAAAACTTGAATGGGTATGCCAGATTCCAAAAGGTAAGTGGTAATTACTTCTTTTTTTATAATTTTCTTATGTGAACATTATAAATACTGATCCAAGAATACCTGAGAGAACTTTTTTTTTCTTAAATTTTTATTAGTGAAACACCATGAGGTACAGTTGTAGACTTACAAATTTTTGTGCTTGGGTTTCAGTTATACAATGATCGAATACCCATCCCTCCACCACTGCCCATTCTCCACCACGACCGATCCCAGTATCCCTCCCACCCCCATCCCCCCATCCCACCTTACCTCTGTGGCAGGGCATTTCCTTTTGTTATCTCCTGAGAGAACTTTTCAATTATAATTCTAAGTGCTTATGAAGATGCAGTAACTATACTAAGTACCACCCTGCCTGGCTCCTAACCTTAGTAAAAGATTAACTTTCCTTTAAAGCCATTTGAAAATGTATTTTTAAATAAGAAAAAAATTTAATAACTTCATTGAGGAAAAGAAACAGATTTCTAAATCCTGAAGAATTAAGATTCTTTCAAAGAGAAAATAGTTTGGGGGCTGAGGTGATGGCCCAGAGTGCATGAGTGCATGTGGGAGTCTGGGTTCAATCCCTGGACACTCTTTGATCTCCCAAACACCATCAGAGTAACCTGCAAATTTTGAGAGGCCCCTCAAAGTAATTTCTGGGGCTCAAAGTTCAGTGAAATGGTCTGAGAGTGCAGTACTTCAAGGAAGAACTGCAAATTAACTGGGCCACTTTAGAAGTGCTGCATCCAGTAATATTTTTGATGATCATGTGTTGCCAGGTATTAAACCAGACGTTGACCATATGAGAATCATGTGCCTTAAGACTCATGCCATTGGGACTAGAGAGATAGCACAGTGGGTAGGGCATTTGCCTTGCACATGCGGCCGACCCAGGTTTGATTCCCAGCATCCCATATGGTCCCCCAAGCACCACCAGGAGTAATTCCTGAGTGAAGAGCCAGGAGTAAGCCCTGTGCATCACTGGGTATGACCCAAAAAGAAAAAAAAGATAAAAGACTCATGCTATTTCTCCAGCCCCTTTTTAAAAAATATTTTTGAGGAAATGTTTTACAACATTAAATATGTTTTTAGGACTAGAGGTTCCAAACCTTTCCTAAAGAAATTACACAACATGGCCACCCCAAAGTGGTCGTGTGAACTCCACTTTGCTCCCATACTCCTTTTCCGTAACCTCAGTGCCACAGTCAGAATCCAAGAATTTGCCCTTGCTTTGTTTCTTTATATTCCACCTATGAGTGAGATCATCTGGTGATTTTTTTTCATTTCTGATTTATTTCCCTCAGTATCAACTCCTCCTGTTCCGTCTATAGTATTAGATATGAAGACCTTACCTTTTCTTATAATTGGTTATCCCATTGTGTATCTATACCACTTAATCACTTAATCACTTAACTTCCCGTTAGTCGTCGATTTGCTCGAGCGGGCGCCAGTAACGTCTCCATTTGTCCCTGTCGCGTGCTAGTGTAGCCCAATGGCATCTCTTCGCTCCGGGAACATGGAGGGCCTCAAACCGATCATTCATGATCTTGACAAAGAAGTCTGACCATCTGGTAGGTGGGCGGCCACGCGGTCTCTTGACATCCCGTGGAATCCAATCAGTAACAGCTCTAGTCCAACGGTCGTCTTTAAATCTCATTACGTGACCAGCCCATCTGATTTTCGACACCTTGGCATATGAGACAGCGTCCCTGATCCTTGATCGTCAACGGATGTCAGAACTCCGGATTCGTTCTCTCATTTGAATGAAACGTGATATTCCAAGCATAGCTCTTTCTATTCTTCTTTGGGAGACCTGAATGGCGTTCTCATCTTGTTTGCGTAGGGCCCAGGTCTCTGAGGCATATGTTAATGCAGGAAGAACAGTGGAATCAAAGAGATGTGCCCGGAGCCGGAGGTTCTTCGTTCTCTTAGCTATTTCTTCGACGTTCTTGAAGGCATTCCAAGCCGCTCTCTTCCTCCTGCGCAGCTCGGGTGCCAGGTCATTTGTCATGTTGACCTCTCGACCTAGGTACACATAGCTGTTGCATTCGGAGATGGTCGTTCCATTGAGAGCGAATGGGGCGTCAGGAACAAGGCTGTTTCTCATAAACATTGTCTTCGTAAGATTCAGCTGTAGTCCTACCTTTCCACACTCATGGTCAAAGTCGGCCAGCATTTGTGCCACTTGGCTGATGTTTGGTGTTATTAAAACAATGTCATCAGCAAAGCGGAGGTGGTGTAGTTGCCGACCATCTATCTTCACTCCCATTCCTTCCCATTCCAGTCGCCGCATGATGTTCTCGAGGGTGGCACTGAAGAGTTTCGGTGAAATGGTATCACCCTGCCGCACCCCTCTCTTGACATCAACGATCACTTCTTTGTAGAATGGTGAGATCCTGGTAGTGAATCCGCAATACAGCTCACGGAGGATCCTGATGTATTGGGCTTGAATGCCCTGATTGGCTAGGGCTTCAATGACCGCTTCCGTCTCAACAGAATCAAAGGCCTTCTTTAAATCAATGAACGTTAAGCAGAGCGGCATCTTGAACTCCCGAGAAACCTCAATGAGCTTGGTTACCGTGTGGATATGGTCAATGGTGCTGAATCCTTTGCGGAACCCTGCTTGCTCGCATGGTTGTCCTTCATCTAGTGTTCTGCCAATCCTATTCAGGATGACTCGAGTGAACAGCTTGTAGATGACAGACAATAGGCAGATCGGGCGATAGTTGCCAATGTCATGGATGTCTCCCTTCTTGAACAGTAGTACGGTCCTGCTGGTTTTCCATTGGGACGGAACCTTGCATTCAGACAGGTAGCGAGTGAAGAGCCGAGCCAGTGTATTGATGAGTACTGACGGCAGGTTCTTCAGGTGTTCAGGTCTGACCTTCTCTGGGCCGGGTGCTGTTTGCTTCTTTACCAACGAAATGGCGTGTCGGATTTCGGAAGGGAGAACGTTAGGAACGACATACCCATCCTGTGGAATTTGGTATGTTGGCAAGTGGACATGGCTATCGAAGAGATTTGAGTAGAAGTCATGGATAATCTTCTCCATTGCCGTTCTGGAGGATGTGATGGATCCATCAGGATGTCGGAGGGCAGTCATCTTGGTCTTATAGTTGGCGAAGGACAGGCGGGCGTTACGAATACTTTTCCCGGCTTCTGCCGCATCTACCAGTACTTCTGCTCTTCTCTCTTTGAGGTCTTCCTTGATCGAATCTCTGCACTGCTTTGCAAGCTCGGACGTTAGCTTGCGGTTGCCTGAGGCATGCGCCAAACCACGCTGGCGAATTAGCTCAAGAGTTTTCCAAGATAGGCGACTTTTTGTGGCTATCTCTCTCTTGGCGTTCCTCGCACATTCATGGAGGTGCTGAACCAGTCGATCGTATTCCTCGTCAATGTTGTCAACAATGGCATCTTCCCATGTTGCCGCAATAGTACCAAAGAGTTCCCAGTTGGTGGTCATTCTGGGAGTCCTCTTTTTGAACTTTGCAGCCCTTTCTCCCCGCTCTGTGAAGTAGAATTTTGCACGAAGGAGACGGTGGTCCGATCCCGTTCGAAATTTTGGGACAACAGCGACATCAGTCAGGCAAAACCGTCGATTGAATATGATGTGGTCTATTTCGTTGTGGAATCGTCCACCGGGAGACTCCCATGTCCAGCGTTTAGATTCTGCCTTCTGGAACTGTGAGTTACCATGAATGGTCTTGGTCGACATGATGAACTCAGACAGTCTCTCACCCTGTTCGTTCCATTCTAGGCCATGGGTCCCGATGTGAAGTTCTTCAGCTGATCTTCTCGGTCCTATCTTGGCATTAAAATCACCCACAATGATCTTGTAGAAGGTGTGGTCTTCTTTATAGAACTTCTCTAGCTCCATGTAGAACTTCTCGATTTCTCTTTCATCATAATGAGATGTTGGTGCGTAGACAACGAAGATAGAAACTGCAGGCAGTGAGCCACATCTATTCAAATGTAAACGTCCGATTCGGGTTGTTAGGCATTCGAATGAATCAATGCTCTTGGCCAAGTTTGTGTTGACAAGGACACCGACGCCTCCAACACCTCTTTTATCGCATGTTCCGAGGAACAATTCTTCTCCAGTGTCGAAAACGGCATGGTGAGATTCGTGCCTTCTTGTCTCGGTCAGACCAATGATGTCGTACTTGATCATTCGCGCTTGTACCATCAGGTCCTCGATGGATGCATCTGATGCTAGCGTACGTGCATTGAAAGTAGACGATCATTTTTGTCTTCCTTCGTTGTGGCAGCCTAGGTCGGCCTTGAGATTTTGTCGGCCTCTCCTTTCTCATCCTTCTTAGTGCTGCCATGTCGGTGAAGCCTTCAGGGTCAGGTGAATGAGACCAGTTGTAGTTACTGGTTTTGGCATATCGAATACACAGCGGATAGCTTGCCAGGCTCTTCCGTGCAGGCGGAATACTCTCGGTAGCTTGCCAGTCTTTCCGAGAGGTATAGAGGCTTTTGGGGTGACCTCTAATCACCCTTGTAGGTGTTACCATATTTGAACCCTATCTATACCACATATTTTTTAATTGAATCACTGTAATATAGACCATCACAAAGCTATGCCTGATTAGGTTTCAGTCATACAATGTTCCAACACCTATCCCTCCACCAGTGTGCATTTCCCGCCACCAACGTCCCCAGTTTCCTTCCTGCCACGCCCTCTTCACCTGCCTCAGTGGCAGGAACCTTTCTTCTTTCTCTCTGTCCTTTTGTGAATTATGTTTGTAATACAGATGCTAAGAGGTGATTGTGTTTGTTCAGGGCATTCAGTATTTTTATTAGGAAAACACAGCTGGAGTAGTGTGGTTTTTTTTAAACTGGGTGACAGCTTTGGGGTACATACATGACTGACAGGGCTTCTGGAAGTAAGAGGGAGAGGGGAAGTAGCCCATTCTGACCCCCTAGAAAGCTTGGAGATTTCAGTCACAAAACCTGAATTTTCAGCATGTTACTACCGTGGTATATGGAGATGGTGGAGTCCGGCTGGA